GTGTGGGAGGTTTGGCCCAATTCTATCATTGATGGGGTTCAGAATGCTCTGTGATTGTAAGTGAACTATAAACCCCAGCAACTGCAACTCCCAAATGTGAAGATTCTATTTTCCCCAAACTCCACCAGTGTTCACATTTGGGCATATTGAGTATTTGTGTAGAGTTTGGCCCAGATCCATCATTGTTTGAGTCCGGATGTAGGTGAACCAAACCAAAGGACCCTGCCCACCAAACCCTTCCAGTATTTTCTGTTGGTCATGGGAGAACTGTTTGCCAAGTTTGGTTCAATTGAATCGTTGGTGGGAATCAGAATGCTCTTTGATTGTGGGTGAACTATAAATCCCAGTAACTACAACTCCCAAATGTCAAGGTCAATTTCCCCCAAACTCCATCTGTGTTTATATTTACATCTGTGTATTGAGTACTTGTGCCAAGTTTGGTCCAGATCTATCATTGTTTGAGTCCACAGTGCTCTCTGCATGTAGGTGAACTACAACTCACAAACTCAAGGTCAATGTCTACCAAACAACCAGTATTCTCTCTTGGTCATAGAAGTTCTGTGTGCCAAGTTTGGTTCAATTCCAACGTTGGTGGAGTTCAGAATGCTCTTTGATTGTAGGTGAACTATAAATCCCAACAACTACAACTCCGAAATGACAAAATCATAATGTTTTGAGTGATGGTCACTCCTTGTGTTGTGAGACGTTTCGTTGCCAAATTTGGTGTGATTTCATTCATTGGTTCTTTTGTTTTTAAGGTACTCATTATGCACAGAGCATTTTTATATAGATAGATAGATAGATAGATAGATAGATAACGTGAAAGGGACCCCTAAAGAAGGATAATGATATGTTCCATATTCCAGAGCAGGCAAACCAGGCACTCTCCACATCAACACTGGCAAAGAAACAGCAAGGAATACTGTTGACCCACAAGCAGAAAGACATGACATATATTAGAAACCAGCACTCTCATTACTTCGTTTTCCAGATCACCAGCCTGGGCCACAGCAACGCCTGGCAGGGGACGGCTAGCACTTTCCCCTTGCCTCACTGCCAACAGAACTTCTGAGCTTGCCAGGCACAGGTGCAGGCGAAACGTCAGSAGGGAATGCTGCTGGAACATGTCCAGTGACACTGTGACGCTGTTTTGGGAAGCCATGGCTCGAGGTTGAAAGGAGAAGGCCTAGCTGGGCCCCCTCCCTCCCCCCCGGCATCCCATAATAGACCCCCCCTCCCTCCTTCTTCTCCCTCAAAATACCTTCTTCCCCCATTCAGGGCAGGCCCAAGGCGCTCCCGCTCTCCCACACCGGAAATGGGCTCAGGGGAAATGACGTCCCCCGTCCCCGCCCCCTCATGAGCATCCCTCCCCTCTCTCMCCCTCTCAGGAGTCCTCYGTGTTTTGGACTCCATTTCCCAGGATCCTTGCCCGCCCTCCGAAGCAGCCGAGGCTTCTGGGAGTTGGAGTCCAAAGACAAGGACTGGCGGCCTCGTGTGGCCGGAAGAAGGAAATGCAGGCAGGAAGGAGGCGCAGCTTCTGACGTCACTTGAGGGAAGGAGGGAGGGAGGGGCCCTCTTGCTCTCTCTTGGCGGGAAGGAGAGGAGGGGGAGGGTCAAGAGAGGCAGGTGGAGGCAGGCACAGCACAGCTGAAGAGGAGAAGGAGCCCACAACAGGCTTTGGCCTACTCATTCTCCTCAGGAAGACACTGGCTTTGAACCCACTCACTCTAACAGGCTTTGGCCTACTCATTCTCCTCAGGAAGACACTGGCTTTGAACCCACTCACTCTAACAGGCTTTGGCCTACTCATTCTCCTCAGGAAGACACTGGCTTTGAACCCACTCACTCTAACAGGCTTCGGCCTACTCATTCTCCTCAGGATGACACTGGCTTTGAGGCCACTCACTCTGACAGGCTTTGGCCTACTCATTCTCCTCAGGACGACACTAACTTTGGCCCACTCACTCTAACAGGCTTCGGCCTACTCATTCTCCTCAGGATGACACTGGCTTTGAGGCCACTCACTCTGACAGGCTTTGGCCTACTCATTCTCCTCAGGACGACACTAACTTTGGCCCACTCACTCTAACAGGCTTCGGCCTACTCATTCTCCTCAGGATGACACTGGCTTTGAGGCCACTCACTCTGACAGGCTTTGGCCTACTCATTCTCCTCAGGACGACACTAACTTTGGCCCACTCACTCTAACAGGCTTCGGCCTACTCATTCTCCTCAGGATGACACTGGCTTTGAGGCCACTCACTCTGACAGGCTTTGGCCTACTCATTCTCCTCAGGACGACACTAACTTTGGCCCACTCACTCTAACAGGCTTTGGCCTACTCATTCCCCTCAGGACGACACTAGCTTTGAGCCCACTGACAATAAAAGGCTCCGGCCTACTCATTCTCCTTATAGAATCCTAGAGTTGGAAGAGACCTCCTGGCCCTTTATCTAGTCCAACCCCATTCTGCCACGAAGCAGAAATATTGCATTCAAATCACCCCTGACACATGGCCATCCAGCCTCTGTTTAAAAGCTTCCAAAGAAGGAGCCTCCACCACACTCCGGGGCAGAGAGTTCCACTGCTGAACAGCTCTCACAGACAGGAAGTTCTTCCTCATGTTCAGACGGAATCTCCTTTCTTGTAGCAGAAAACAGGGGAGCAGAAAACAAGCTTGCTCCGTCCTCTCTGTGGTTTCCTCTCACATATTTATACATGGCTATCATGTCACTTCTCAGCCTTCTCTTCAGGCTAAACATGCCCAGCTCTTTAAGCCGCTCCTCATAGGGCTTGTTCTCCAGACCCTTGATCATTTTAGTCACACTCCTCTGGACACATTCCATCTTAGAGTCAATATCTCTCTTGAATTGTGGTGCCCAGAATTGGACACAATATTCCAGGTGTGGTCTAACCAAAGCAGAACAGAGCATGGGAAGCATGACTTCCCTAGATCTAGACACTATGCTCCTATTGATGCAGGCCAAAATCCCATTGGCTTTTTTTGCCACCACATCACATTGTTGGCTCATGTTTAACTTGGTGTCCATGAGGACTCCCAAGATCTTTTTCACACATACTGCTCTCGAGCCAGGCATTGTCCCCCATTCTGTATCTTTGCACTCGTTTAGAGTGGCCAGGTATTCCTGGACAACTTGTTCCCCTATTTGACATTGGATTTCCCCTATTCCTTCATCCATTCCATGTTGCTGAGGTTGAGGATGGCTTTCTTTTTGTGAGAAGACAGGCAAAGAAGGCATTAAGTATTTCTGCCTTTTCCCCATCTATCCCATCAGCATTTTCCCATCCTCTCCTCACAGAGGCCCCGTCGCCTCCTTATTCTTCCTTTTTCTACCGACATAAGCAAAGAAGCCCTTTTTATTGTTTTTAATGTCCCTGGCAAGCCTGAGCTCGTTTTGCGCTTTAGCCTTGCAAACCTTCTCCTTACAGGGGTTGGTTATTCTTTTGTGGTGGAGTGTGAGTTGCTCAAGACAATAATTGTGACTCGCTAATAACCTAATTCTACGTATTGGTGCCGAGGCCCCTCCGCCTTTGATTGGTCTGCACTGCGGCAGGGAGTTCCACAGTTCCTAGTTGTCACAATTGGAGAAAACTAAGGAAATGTGCCCCAGCAAGCAGCTCAAGAATAAGGTTGCACTCCCCTTATTTTCCCAGTCTTCTTATTGATCCTACCCTTATAGAGATCTAAATTCAGATCACCACCTATAATTAAATCTCCCTCTGCCTCTCGTTCTATTTTTTTAAAGATTTTATTAAAAAATCTTTTTTGCCCCTTATTGGGCCCGTAGACACTAATAATAGAAAGTTTACAATCATTTAATTTTCCACATACCATTATGAACCTCCCCTCCTCATCTGTAATACATTTCTCTGTTACGAAAGCAAGCTCATTTTTAATTAAAATAGCCACTCCCCGAGAATTGTTTGTACCCTTAGACTCATATTGAACGTCCCAATTCGCTAAATTTAACAATTTTAATCTCCCAACATGATGAGTCTCCTGTAGACACACGATTGCTACCTGATTCTCTGATAGTAATTTACGTAATCTATCTTTTTTAACTTCCGATTTCAGACCATTAATGTTGACTGACATCAAGTGGATAGAATCTGATGGAGCCATTACATTTAATTAATTCACTTTGTAGGTCTTTGTGCTTTCCATTCCCCTTATATCATATTTTTGGACCACTGTTCCCTTGCATCCCTTAAATTAACCTTAAAAAATGGAATCTTCGTGATGTTAATGAAAGATTAGGACAAAAAGTCGACACCCCCACATATTACTCTGCTAGGCATAATTCCTTTTCCACTCTAGATTATTTCCTTATTGGTAATAATAATGTGTTACCCATTGTGGAGACATCAGTTGGGAATAGGTGGCCAGGAGATCATGCCCCTCTTTTCCTTAGAGTGGGTAACATAAGTAGGAGAAAGGAATATAAATGGAGATTTAATCCACTAGTAACAGCCAAGGAACAGGATAAACAAGAGCTAAAAGCGGAAATCAAGCAATTCTTTGAAATTAATAGATCCCCTGATTTAAAAGAAAATATAATTTGGGATGCATTCAAAGCCGTTATTAGAGGGAAATGTATCACAATGGAAATAGGTATTAAAAAAAATTAAAACAAAAAAAAGAGGAGGTAAAACAGAAAGGGGATAAACTATTTCAAAATTTTCAAAAAAACCCAACAGATCAAAATAAGGAAAGATGGAAGGAGAATAGGAAGATAATAGAAGAGTTAGAGAAAATTGAATTAACAAAAAAATACCTGTTTGTAAAAAATGATTTCCAAATTAACTCCATAAATAATACTAAAAGATTAGCTAGCTACCTTAAATCAAGGAAAGGAAGGAATAAGATATTAAAATTAAAAGATGCAAAAGGACAAATGAAAACCAAAGAGGAGGATTTGAGAGAAATAATGGCAAGTTATTATGAAAATTTATATTCGGTTAAAAAAATTGAGAAAACTGAGGGAATTATCACGAGAAAATTAGACCTCCAAGCACAATTAAAACTGAATAGACCTATCACTAGTAAGGAAATTGAAGATGCCATTAAAAATCTTAAACCAAACTCCTCTCCTGGACCTGATGGCTTTACGTCTAATTTTTACAAAATATTTAATTTAGAAATCACCCCTCAATTAGAAATTTTATTCAACAAGATATTAAAAAATAAAATCACCCCAGAAACATGGAAGAAATCTGAAATAATTACAATTTTGAAACCTAGCAAAGATGAAACCAACCCAAACTCATATAGACCAATTACTCTGTGTAATGTAGATTACAAAATTTTTACAAAACTTCTTGCAAATAGATTGGCTGATATAATTCCAAATTTAATAGGTGAAGACCAATATGGGTTTATCAAAAATAGAAGATTAGCTGATCCTATAAGAAATATCCTAAATATAATTAATCATGCTACTAGGGAAAAAGAGAAACTTTTGTTACTAAAACTAGACGTATATAAAGCATTTGATATGGTCAACCATCAATATTTGTACAAAGTTTGTGAAGACTTTAATTTGGGAAAACAATTCTGCGAAATAATAAAGGAACTCTACAAAGATAACCAAACACAAATATTGATTAATGAAACCAAAACAAGAACTATTAGAGCCGCCGCAAACGAGCATCTTGGGAGAGCAAACTGTCCCAGCACAGCCGATGACGTCGAAGACTCTGCCTCTTTCTCCGCCTCTTTCTCCGCTTCTTTCTTCGCCTGTTTCTCCACGCCCGCGTGGTTTTCTCTTTGCTAGGGCAGCGATACGAGCATACTCTCGCTGTTGAATTCTGTCAACAGCGAGAGTACGCTCGCATCGCTGCCCTAGCAAAGGGAAAACCACGCGGGTGTGGAGAAACAGGCGGAGAAAGAGTCATCAGCCGTGCTGGCACAGTTTGCTCTCCCAAGACGCTAGTTTGCGGCGGCTCTTAAGATCAATAGTGGAACAAAGCAAGGATGCCCTCTTTCTCCCATCCTATTTGCGCTGGCAATAGAACTCTTGGCAAATCTAATTAGAAACAATGTTAATTTTGAAGGCATAAAAATCGGGACAGAAGTAATGAAAATCAACCTTTTTGGAGATGATGCCATGGTGTTATTAGGGTCACCAGAGGACTCTATAAAGGAAGTTATAAATACTATAAAGAAATTTGAGAAATTATCAGGGTTGGCCATTAATATACAAAAATTGGAAATATTACACAAAAATTTGATTCCTAAAGAGTTAAAAGAAATCCAGAGTATTACAGGGATAAAACTAGGGGAGAAGAAGATAAAATATTTGGGTGTATATATTCCCAAAAATCTAAACAATATAATCCAATCTAATTATAATAACTTATGGGGGGGGGGGGAATAAACAGATGTGTAGTTGGAAAAAACAAAATTGGGATATATCAAGCAAAATTAAAATGGTTCAAATGATGATTCTACCAAAAATTTTATTCCTGTTTCAAGCACTCCCATTTAGTATCCCCATCAAAATTATTAAAAAATGGGATTCTTTGATTAAAAATTGGATAGAAGGAACAAATAAAAATCGTATTCCCAAATCAGTATTTTATTCCTTAGAAGAGAATAAAAACCATTGATCTCATCTTTGGAATGTTGGAAAAAATGGCAAAACAAACTACAAATTAATAGGGTAGATATACTCCCAATAGGGTTTCTAGACAATAAAAAGAAGAGACATTGGGTAAAGTCATAACAAATTTGAAACAAAATGGAATGAATTTGATAAAAGACCTCTTGAACTCAGATGGGACAATCAAGGATTCCAATAAAGGGTAAATGTGGTCAAGGTAATTGGCTTCTTTGGAATGGATTAAAACAAAGGATCCTTAAAGTGAAGAAAAAAGAAGGCCCTGAGACAGCCCTAGATAAAATTCTGAAATGGAAATTAGAAAAGGAGAAAGGGCTGATGGAGTTTATTTACAAGAAATTAATTGGAATACAATATAATTTGAAACAAGCCTTGGTAGAAATATGGAAAGAAGATTTAAATAATAAAGTTTTAGAAATAGAAAACTGGATTGACTCAATTAAAAGTCTTAAGCATATAAGGATTAGAGAAACGCAAAGGAAATTATTGACTAGATGGTACAGAACGCCAATTTTTTATTATTTATTTTATTTATTTATTTTGGTTGCTTCTACCCCGCCCTTCTCACCCCAGAGAGGGACTCAGAGTGGCTTACAATAGCGAGGCACAATTCGATGCCCGCATCACATAACAACAATAGGACACTAACATCGGTTAACAGAACCAGCAATTCTAGCAGTAACATCCATTAACTAAACAACAATTATTATAGGCAAAACAACCATAAAACCAATAAAAGCAATAAAACTAATACAAACCATTTCTCCTCGTTGACGGTCAGTGTTTCACAATCACGTTTAAAATAGCCCAGATGACAAAAAAACACTATAAAACTTTGTTGGCATGGATGTGGGAAAATTGGCTCTTATTCCCACATGTGGTGGGAATGTGACAGAATACAAGAGTTCTATAACAAGGTAATGAATGAAATGGAAGAAATAATAGGATATAAACTGGCTTTGAATGAAATAGATTTTTTAACAAAGAAATTAGACAAAAAAGATAATTGCAAAGACTGGGAGGAAATTATAAAATATATGATATTAGCTGCCCAAGCAACTGTGGCGTTGGGGTGGAAAGATTATAGAAAATGGGAAGTTAAAAATGGTATGAGTATTTAGCAGAATACATGCTTCAGGAGTACATCCATGAAAAAAGAAGCAAATACACAACAAGCCGACAAGAAAACTTGGATGCAGAAATGGGAAAGACTGATTGAAAAAGTGGAAGGAAATGAAAGATATAAGGTGTTAAACCATTCTCTTTATACAATTGTTCAATTAAATTAAGTTCTGAATTAAGGTATTTACTGTTCCCTGAAGGGGGGTGGGTGGGGGGAGGAGGGGCGTAAAATCATAAGACACAAGGGTAAGGTAAAGGGGAGACAGATAAGAGCATTAGGTAATTATAATGTGATATGTGATACATGGTATGTGATATGTTTTCAGAATGTAATTTAGCAACTGAATTTCTAAGAACGAGTTGATATGATGGTATTATATTTGTGTCGGAAAAATCTAATAAATATTTTTTTAAAAAAAAGATTCTATTTTAACTTTGAGGGCAACAGTTTGCATGTTTAAAAGGAGTATTTAGAATAGTCAGCCAGTGACTATAGCGTCCCATCAAACTATAAATCCTAGGATTCTTTAGAATTCAGCTATGGGGTTACGGTAGTCTCGTAGTACAATAATTGCATGTGTAAGAGGGCTCCTGATGGTATTCAGGTAGCTCCTGGTATACTTCTGTCAGGTTTTACAATGTATTGTAATGTAATATATAGCTGTGTCATGCACTGCTAATGGGCTTCTATTGGAAATG